TTTTTTTTTTTTTTTTTTTTTTTTTTTTTTTTTTTTTTTTTTTTTTTGGAGGTTTTTGATCACTGCTTCAATCTTGTTACTAGATATTGGTCTATTCAGGTTGTCAATTTCTTCCTGGTTCAATCTTGGGAGTTTATAGTTTTCCAGGAATGCATCCATTTCATCTAGGTTGCTTAGCTTATTGGCATCTAACTGTTGATAATAACTTCTGATGATTGTTTCTACTTTCTTGGTGTTAGTTGTGATCTCTCCCTTTTCATTCCTAATTTTATGAATTTGGGCTTTCTCTCTTTTCTTTTGGATTAGTGTGGCCAATGGTTTATCGATCTTCTTGATTCTTTCAAAAAACCAGCTTCTAGTTTCATTGATACATTCTATTGTATCTATGGTTTCTACTTCATTGATCTCAGCTCTAATCTTGATGATTTCCCTTCTTATGTGTGGAGTTGGTTTGATTTGTTGTTGATTCTCCAGTTCTTTAAGGTGTAGAGACAGCTGGTGTATTCTGGATATTTCAATTTTTGGGGGGGGGAGGCTTGGATGGCTATGTATTTCCCCCTTAGGACTGCCTTTGTTGTATCCTATAGGTTTTGGACAGAAGTGTCTTCATTCTCATTGGTTTCCATGAATTGTTTCAGTTCTTCTCTGATCTCCTGGTTGATCCAAGCATTCTTAAGCAAGGTGGCCTTTAGCTTCCAGGTGTTTGAGTTCCTTCTGAACTTTTCCTTGTGATTGAGTTCCAGTTTCAAAGCACTGTGATCTGAGAATATGCAGGGAATTATCTCAGTCTTTTGGTATCGGCTGAGTCCTGATTTGTGACCCAGTATGTGGTCTATTCTGGAGAAGGTTCCATGTGCACCTGAGAAGAATGCCTCTGATAATTGTTTCTCAATTGATATTTGGAACATATTTTGACCATAAAAAATTTACATTTTATGTAAATATGTCTACCTTCTTATTTCTGAATTTCTTGCTTTATTTAGGGGTTTTGCCCATCTTTTATATGTAGTTTTATATGTATTTTTACTGATGTCCTATTGTATTGTTTGGTTACATGTACCCTGAAGTCATAAGCCCTCTGGTTTTCTATAGGGTCTGAGAGAGGGAACAGATTTCACAGTCTTCCAGATAGATACCCTTTGCCTGCATTTATTGAGAAATTCTACCTTTTCCAAGGAAACTGAAATACAACCTTATGATGTGGTAAATGTCCCTATACATTGAGACCTGATTTCTAACTAATTTAACAAACAAATAGTAAGTAATCTAGGAACATTATATATTATATTCTTTTGTGTCTAGGACTTCTACAATTTAATTATTGACCCATATTGACATCATTAATGATTGCTATTTTATATCCTATTTTAGTTCATTTTGGTTTTTCATGCAGTTTTGCCTAGAACAGGTGTTTTGAAATTACTCAATTTACATTTTAACCTGGTTTTATGATCTCTTCATTCTGTTCATTCTATACCTATCCATATTCAAAGGGCTTTTTATATTAAACACATATATTCACAAAACTTGGTGAAAAAACAAAAATGAACAAAGAAGTTGAAGTCCCTGCACTTTTAAACATGAACCCTCACGATGAGGATGGAACATAATGAAATAAATGTGTGTATGAAATGATATCCACAGACAAAATGATATGAAGGGAATTATTGAGTACAAAAAGATAGAATTGTCATGGTGGACAGGATTGTAGAGCGTGGTCTGTGGACCCCTTTGCACATTGGGTGAAATCCAGAATGAGGATTAGAGTGTGCCCACTGGGTTCATAAAATAGATCTATACCCAAACTCAAGAATATCAAGAAAATATGCCACATAGAGAAGGGAGAAAGGGACTAACATCCCCTATCAGTCCACATATAAATGAATTGGCCAGAAATGATGCAGGGGGTACATGAAAAATAAGTCCCCAGTGTTTGATATAAAAATGCCCAACTTTTGTTTTGTTATGTACACTTCCTTTTGTGAAGTGTTTGTTTAACCCAATGCTCAATTTTAAGAATGTGTGTGTGTGTGTGTGTGTGTGTGTGTGTGTTTGTGTGTGTGTGTATTTGGGCATCTATTTTAATATTTAAATAAATTATTTACCCATGGGAGGCTTAAGAATTGGCAACTCTGCATTTGCAGGGGAACAGTCAGTGATCTGGACTATGTGGGTTGGATCCATTTCCATTCCTGGCACAGTCAGGATGGCAGGGAATGGTGTTGTGTGTGTGTGTGTGTGTGTGTGTGTGTGTGTGACTTGTAGAATGTAAGCAGTCCCCATAACAAACTGCCAGGACTCAGGACTCCCAAGGTGACAAGAGAGGCCACTAAGAAGGGTATCTGGTTCAATTCATGAGATGCCTTTGCAACATAATGAATACAGTGGGAGAGGCAGTGTGGACAAGGAAGACCCTTTGCCTTGAAGTTTCGAGTTAGCAAAAAGGCCACTTCTCTACTCAGTGTGTCTGACGACTTCTCTTCTCAGGCTCCCTCCTGCTCATTCCCCTTGTAGCACTGGCTTTGCTTTTTTCACATGAACATTTGGAAACAAGTAACTTTCTTGACACCTTTGCATTGGCAATACCCTCTCCTCCATAATCCTCGATCTGCCTCCATCTCTTACTTGAGGTTTTTTGTTCCAATGTCACCTTGTTCACAGAATTAATGTACATACCCAAGAAAATAGCATGCCTTATTCACTCTGCTTTATCCGTGCTTTCCTTTTCTTCATACCATCTCCACCCTCTGAAATTCTATTTATTTTCTTATTTGTTAATGTATTATTTCTCCATTATTGAATGATAGGGAACTTTGTTCTTTAGAATCCTATATTCATCACCTAGAAATGCCTAAATCATGGCCAGGACTTAATTTGTATTTCTGGGATTTGCAATAATTTTTAACTAAAAGTGTGGAACACATGGTCTTTTGTAAATTAAGGGATGGAAACAAAAATCCCATAACTATGGTGGTACACTGGCTCCCCTGAATGGGACCCTATCCATGTGCAAAATATTAAAATGAATACAGACTACAAAATTATTTATGAATTAGAATTAGTCTAATTAAAATGAATTAGACTACAAATTTTAAAGGTAGCATTTTAAGTCTGTGAGCATATGAAAATTAATCATGCTATTGCCTCTGTCCATGAAGTCACCTCCACCACATGAAACCCAGCAATGATACACGAATTTCAGAGTTTCTTCTTCTGGGATTTTCAGAGGAACCAGAACTGCAGCCCCTCATATTTGGGCTTTTCCTCTCCATGTACCTGATCACTGTGGTTGGAAACCTGCTCATCATTCTGGCTGTCCGCTCTGACTCCCACCTCCACACCCCCATGTACTTCTTCCTGGCCAACCTGTCCTTTGTAGACATCTTTTCCACTTCCACCACTGTCCCTAAGATGCTGATGAATATACAGACAGAAAGTAAAGTCATAACTTATGCATGCTGTGTCACACAGATTTATTTTTTCGTACTCTTTGCTGTATTGGATGTCTTTCTCCTGGCCGTGATGGCCTATGATCGCTTTGTGGCCATCTGTCACCCTCTACACTACATGATCATCATGAACCCTCAGCTTTGTGGACTTCTGGTTCTGATATGCTGGACCATATGTATACTGCATTCCCTGCTACAAAGCTTAATGGTTTTGCGGCTGTCCTTCTGTACAGAGGTGGAAATCCCCCACTATTTCTGTGAACTCAATCAGATGATCCAACTTGCCTGCTCTGACACCTTTCTCAATAACATGGTGATGTATTCTGCAGCTGTCCTGCTGGGTGGTGGCCCTTTTTCTGGGATCCTTTACTCTTATTTTAAGATTGTTTCCTCCATATGTGGAATATCATCAGCTCAGGGCAAGTATAAAGCATTTTCCACCTGTGCATCTCACCTTTCTGTTGTCTCCTTATTTTATTGTACAATGTTTGGTGTGTACCTTAGCTCTGCTGCTACCCAGAGGTCCCATGCAAGTGCAGTGGCCTCGGTGATGTACACGGTGGTTACACCCATGCTGAACCCCTTCATCTATAGCCTGAGGAACAAAGATGTAAAGAGGGCTCTGAAAACATTCTTTGTGACTCTACATGGCCAGCTGTCATAGGAAAGAACAAGTTCCTGAGATTGCTTAAGCTTAGTTTCCTGAGCAAAACACAACAAAGGAAACAGTCAAGAAAACAAAGAGGCAACCCACAGAATGGGAGAAGATATTTGCAAATGACAGTACAGACAAAAGGTTGATATCCAGGGTCTATAAAGAACTCCCCAAACTCAACACACACAAAACAGATAATCATATCAAAAAATGGGCAGAGGATATGAACAGACACTTCTCCAGTGAAGACATACAAATGGCTATCAGACACATGAAAAAATGTTCATCATCACTAGCCATCAGGGAGATTCACATTAAAACCACATTGAGATACCACCTTACACCAGTTAGAATGGGCAAAATTAGCAAGACAGGAAACAACATGTGTTGGAGGGGATGTGGAGAAAGGCGAACCCTCTTATACTGTTGGTGGGAATGCAAGTTGGTGCAGCCACTTTGGAGAACAGTGTGGAGATTCCTTAAGAATTTAAAAATAGAGCTTCTCTATGACCCTGCCATTGCACTACTGGGTATTTACCCCAAAGATACAGATGGAGTGAAAGAAGGGCCATCTGTACCCCAATGTTTATAGCAGCAATGGCCACAGTCGCCAAACTGTGGAAAGAACCAAGATGCCTTTCAACGGACAAATGGATAAGATGTGGTCCATATACACTATGGAGTATTATGCCTCCATCAGAAAGGATGAATCCCCAACTTTTGTAGCAACATGGACAGGACTGGAAGAGATTATGCTGAGTGAAATAAGTGAAGCAGAGAGAGTCAATTATCATATGGTTTCACTTATTTGTGGAGCATAACAAATAGCATGGAGGACATGGGGAGTTAGGAGAAGGCAGTTGGGGGAAATTGGAAGGGGAGGTGAACCATGAGAGATTATGGACTCTGAAAAACAATCTGAGGGTTTTGAAGGGGCGGGAATGGAAGGTTGGGGGAACCAGGTGATGGGTATTAGAGAGGGCACGGATTGCATGGAGCACTGGGTGTGGTGCAAAAATGATGAATACTGTTATGCTGAAATAAAAACATACTAGAATATTCACTAAATGTTATATTACTCAGCGAGGAACAGAAACACATTACCAACACATGCGGTGACAAGGAGGAATCTCAAATACATTATTTTGAGTATAAAAATCCTTACATAAAAGTGTGTGCGCTAGGGTGCCCAGGTGGCTCAGTGGGCTCAGCCTCTGCCTTCGGCTCAGGTCATGATCTCAGGGTCCTGGCATCGAGCCCTCAATTGGGCTCTCTACTCAGTGGGGAGCCTGCTCCCCCACCCCTCTCCTACTTGTGATCTCTGTTTGTCAAATAAATAAATAAAATATTTTTTAAAAATAGGGAGTTCAAACAATTCATCAATCACAATTTGTTGTGATTATCTGAGTCATGAAATTATGAATTTTTGTCTCTTTTTCCTTTGTTCATAGTTTCCAATTTTTCTACAATAAGTAGAATAAGAAATACAAAAATACATACTGCTAAAATAAATATTCAACTAATTCTACCCATCATAGAGCTTCTTTTGTTGAATATTTAACCCCATGTTTAATTCATGTTGTAATTTAACATCAACTACTCAACAATTATTTATTAAGAGCTAATAAAATAGACAGTTATAGTGACTTGGGAATAATTATGAATAAAATATCGTTCCTTTCTCAACTTGTTTACTATGTCAGACAGAATTGAATTTAATATAAATCTCAAGTATGTTGCTGGGTATGAAAAATGTTTTAATGCAATTAATGTGAAGTGAAATTCATGATTTTTGATGGAAGAATAAAAGCTGTATGTTCCCAGAGAGTGGGGCGGTATACCAAGCCTTGAAAAATGAGTGTTCTTTCCACTGTTGAGTGTGGGTAGAAATCTATCCAAGCTTAAGAATAATTTATTTTTCTGTTATTACAGTTAAAAGAGTTTTACTTAATACATCTGTGATCTTTTTGATGGAATAAAGGTGAGGGGATTTTATTTTCCACTCTTGCCACTATTGGGTAAAGTTCAATTCACCCTCCTTAAATCTGGTTGACTTGGCCTTCTTTCACCAATGGACTACAGCTAAAGCCAGAGCTGACTGAGCCTTTAGTAGATTTGGAGCCCCTATTTCCACTTTTTGCAATGTGTCCTTTTGCAACCTAGCTATCCAGTGAAGAGCTAACCCACATCAAAGTCATCTGCAGGAATGGCCACAGTTTCCAAACTGTGGAAAGAACCAAGATGCCCTTCAACAGATGAATGGATAAGGAAGATGTGGTCCATATACACTATGGAGTATTATGCCTCCATCAGAAAGGATGAATACCCAACTTTTGTAGCAACATGGACGGGACTGGAAGAGATTAAGCTGAGTGAAATAAGTGAAGCAGAGAGAGTCAATTATCATATGGTTTCACTTATTTGTGGAGCATAACAAATAGCATGGAGGACATGGGGAGTTAGGAGAAGGCAGTTGGGGAAAATTGGAAGGGGAGGTGAACAATGAGAGACTATGGTCTCTGAAAAATAATCTGAAGGGTTTGAAGAGGTGGGGGGGGAGTGTGGGGGAACCAGGTGGTGGGTATAAGAGAGGGCATGGATTGCATGGAGCACTGGGTGTGGTACAAAAACAATGAATACTGTTATGCTGAAAATAAATAAAAAATTATTTTTAAAAAAGTCATATGCAGGAAACAAACAAATGCACATGACATGTGCCCATTTAAGTACATAGGTATACACTAATCTCTCATTTTAGAAATCTAAGTAATGGTTGAATTTGGGAGGAAGAAAGATGAGACACCTTGGATCTTCTGGAGAGCTGCTGATCTTTTATGACTTTATCCAGGTGTTATATACATGGGTGATTCCTTTGGATACATCGATGAGCTGTACAATTGCAATTGTAAACTTTTCTGTATGTGTTTTATATTCAGTAAATATTTGTAGAAAATGGATCTTTTTCCATACCCATGCATAAAATTTTTGAAGGATTAGTCTCTTCAAAATAAATACATTTGTAATATAAAAAAAATTTATTGGGTAAGTGTTTTTATTCAGTTCCTAATGACAATGTAAAATGAGTACATTAGTGTTTAAAACACATTTATGGTCTGACAATTCAAGGGGTCAAAACTCTGAAATGGTTCTCCTTGGGCTAAAAAAAAAATGTTTGCAAGACTTGGTTCATTCTGGAAGCTACGGGGACAGATGGGCTTATTATTTTTATTCCAAAATCATAAAAAAGTGCAAAAAATCTAAATTTATTTCTTATAATTCTTATAATTAACAAATGTTTCAAAGTAAGGGACCAAATAACTAAATTTACAAGTATGAAATTCCTAATCATTTGGCAAATGTGTCATGGAGCTGAGGTATGTCTTGCTCAAGATGTTTGTTTGCTTGTTTGTTTGTTTGTTTAAGATTTTCTTTATTTATTTATTTGTCAGAGGGAGAGAGAGAAAGAGCATGCACAAGCAGGGGGAGTGACATGCAGAGGGAAACAGGCTCCCCACTAGGAAGGAGCCTGATATGGGACTCAATCCCAGTATCCCAGGATCATGACCTGAGCTGAAGGCAGATGCCCAATGGACTGAGCCACCCAGGCATACCTTGCTCAAGGTTTATATCAAAACAGTTTAGTTCTCCTCACTGGAAAGGCGAACAGTGATAGTCTATAGACCGCAGAGCTGTGTGTCCAACACAAGTCAACATTTCGGAGATCCAAGGGATCTAATCAATACACATTGCTCAGTCCTAGACTTTGTGGAAAAGTTGAAGTCAGGGTTGGGATAAGGTGCTAAAAGGTCTGTGCTCTGGGAGCAACAGAGCTCCTGAGGAAGAGCTCTGGATTCACTTGGTTATAACCTAGTCTGTAAGGAACACACAATCTCCAGGAAAATTTTCCTTCATGTCCACACCAGTGTCCCATAGGAAACTCGTGTGCTTAGAGGTTGGAGGAGCAGGAAGGAAAAATGCCTCATGAACAGACAGAGGAAGCTCTAAATATCTCCTGTGTAGCAGGAGATACTCTGCCTGTGCCCCCTTGGGCTGGATGGGACAAGATTGTTGTCTCTGGAATCCTAAGCTTGGCTGGAAGACTGATGCCAGCCTCCTTCCTGCTGTCTTGTGAGGGGACAGAGTTTAGTCACCATCATCCCCACCCAGGAGGAATTCAGACCACCACATAGAGACCCCTCCTTCAGAGCTGCCATTCAGGTGAGTCCCAGAGCCCAGCAGGTCCTGAAGGCAAGGGTTAGACAAAATCCAAGCCTGATGCATTTACCTGAGGTCGCCTGACAGCCTCCAGCCTTGCCCAGAACCTGGGGATCTCTATGCTCAATTGCTTGGCTGATGAGCTGATGAATGAATCCTTTGATGATGTTAAAGAAAGAAGTGAATAGTGAGCTCAGCAACACATGGGTGACTGGTGACAATGAAGTGAAGGGATGGGAGGCATAAAGTATTTCCAATAAAAATAGAACATAACCACTGAGTTTTGCAATTAAACAGAATAAGAATATTAGGTATGGAGGGATGTCCAGTGAAGTCAGGGCATTTCTTTTTTGCCTTTAAAATGGGACATATTGGACTCTGTTTCCATACTGATAAGAAAAACCTAGACCAATTTATTTCTTGCAGATAGGGCCCTGTGACAGTAATTCATGAGGCATACTTTTTCACAGCATCCCCTGTTCCTCTGGGTACTCATGTGAAAACAATTATCTAACAATGAAAACTATATGAAGGAGCTTTGCTTTGAAATGATTTCATTACTAAGGGAGCTGAATATATTTGTGGATTAGCTTTTCATTTTTTTCTGTACAGTACATTGTCTCTACCATGTCATTGCATTTGTACAGTGGAGTCAGTGGTTTATTCCTGCTTTTGATTGGATTCTTTCAAACAAGGAATCAGAAGAGGGGTTTCTATTTGTTTTACCAATTTCGTTGTTTTCATTGTGTTCTAGTGTATATGTATTGACATATATGTGTTGAATTGTATTATTA